GCACCCCTCCAGCTGTCTCCATCCTTGTTCTCCTATGCCTAAAAACAGCCCTGTATATGGCTTTGCTCATCAGAAATCAGCCCTATACTGTTATCAACTTCCCTTTTAAAGGCCTTGTTAGCACAATTGTTGTAGACAATGTGGAGCAGGTAAAAAAGGCGAAGGTGAAGAACTGTCCACCTGTTTGATGTCTAAATGAGAAAACTGCCTCTACATCAACCAGAGGAATCATTTATGAAGGTGATGCTAAAAACAACTATGACCTGGATGACACAAGAGTCTTACCTTATAATGAAGACAAATAATTAAATTATTAAGCAAGATGAATAATCTAATATTTATATGGGTGGTGAAGGCCCCTGAGGCTATATTCTGGTTTATTCTGTCTGAATCTGTCTGAAGCTTGTTTGTGTCAATTTAATGGAGTTTTATAGTGTGTTTGTCTTTGTTCAACTGCTTGAATTGTTTAACTGCTTGCACAAGAACAAGCACACTGTCACAGCAAAAAAATTATACATTAGCTGTCAAGAATTGACACTGTTGGTCAGAGGCGTCGCACTAAAATTTGGACCCTGTAGATAAGCTTTCTCTATGGGCCCCTCCCTGCATCCATGGCTATTAGTTCTAGTATCAGTCACCTCGCCCCCTCTTAAAAAGGAGAGAGACTGAAGTGAAATTTTGAACTCAAACACATATACCACAGTACCACAGTCATGGTCAGACTTGTTAGCTCCTTACAGGTAATGTACAGTTGGTCGACTGAATGTTTGCTTGCTTCAAAGAACCGTGGCCAGTCATGACCCTGTTTCTGGTTCACCACTTTTCCTTCCTTGGACCACCAGCTGATTTTTTCCCCACTTTTCTGTTGTCATCAGTGGAATTATTGGCGGACCTGGACTCCTTCTTATTATGTTATTGTACTCTGTGACTTTAACAAAGGTAATCTCAGCCACGAACTCCCCAAATACAGTTTATTAAATGTCTGACCAGAGAGGAGAATATTCTGGATCACTGTTACACTACAGTAAACAGTGACTTAAACAACATCCGTGCTGCCCTGGGACACTGTAACCACCTTGTGGTCCACCTGAAATTAAAGCTCTGTGCTCAGAGCTGCTACCAACAGTCTAGATGAACATGCAGAGGCTATGACGTCCTACATCAGCTTCTGTGAGAAGTGCTGTATACCATCGCGCACCAGGGGGAGTTATGACAATGACAAACCCTGGTTGACAGCTAAACTTACTCCCTTGACAGCTAAGGTTGGAAAAGGACAAGAAGTGTTTAGGGCCAGGTTTAGGGAGTCCAAGTACAGGTTTAGCAAGGCGGTGTGAGAACACCAGTTCTAAGCTAATGATTCTGCTTCTGTCTGGAGGGGGCTCAGACAGATCATGAACTACAAACCTAAAGCCCCCCCACTCCATTAACTTGGGACTGGCCAGCTAACTGAATGAATTCTACTGTCACTTTGAAGAAAATGACTCCATCAGTCAGCTCTAGTCCACCAGCTCCACCTTCCCCACCTCAGCAGAGACCTGTGGCATTTCAGAGGCTGCATCCTAACCTACCTCCTCCATCCCGGAGAGGGATGTCAACAGACTGGTCAGGAAGCAGGACCTCCTCAAAGCAGTTGGGCAATTGGACTCTTTCTCTCCATCCAGTCTGAAGCACTGTGCTGATCAGCTGTCTCCGGTGTTCACCTTTTTAAAACCTCACTGGAGACATGCCATGCACCAGCCTGCTTCAAATCCTCCACCATCATCCTTGTCCCCAAAAAACCAAGGACCACTGGACTTAATGACTGGAGAACCGACCTCTGCGGTAGGTAATTCATTTGAGCGCCTTTTGTTGTACCACCTCTGATCCATACTGGGCCAATAGGTCTGTAGGCGAACTGACTTCCTATCTGACAGGAGGCAGCATGAGGAAGTTCAATCTGCCCAAAGATAATGATGGTGCACTTCTACACCGCCATCATTCAGTCCATCCTCACCTCTGCATCATCACCTGGTGTGCTGCTGCTACTGCCAAGGACAAGGACAGACTGCATTTGCTCTGCAGAGAAGGTGATTGGCTGCAATCTACCATCCCTCCAGGACCTGTATGCCTCCAGGACAGTGAGGCGAGCAGGAAAGATTGTGACTGACCCCTTCCACCCCATTTCCAAATAAGGGCTGCTTACTTTGAGACAAATTTCCTGATACAAACCAACCAGGCACACTAATATTCTTGTGACATATCTTTCATGTATAGTATTTTGTTAATAGTTTAATTTAGCCCAAGAACTAATGCTGCATTCATGTCATGTGGGACAAAAGAAACACTGACAGGTAAAGTGATGGGGGACGTTTGTATGGTCACAAATTGCAAGCTTTCAGGCCATTAAATCAATAGCTATTGTTACTGAGATTGCAGATCTAAGCAACAATTTACTCACTAAATAAATACTAAATTAGTTGTCTGACGTCAGAGTTGGTGTGAGTGTAAAACCAATGTGCATGATGAAAATAGCATTATATTAGGATTATTTACTGAGATTTATTAGCTTTAAGAATGTTTGCTTTTCACACACTTAAATTTTTTTTACTACTGAGTCTGACATGATCATGTAAATGAACAATAAACTTTTCAACATGCTTCAATGCATTACATTATCAAAACGATTATAACTGTAATAGACTGTAATTTAAATAAATGAAAGTAGTGAATTAAGAAAATGGTCATTAAAACAATTTCAAATAACTGGGAGAATGCATTTACATAGAAATTTGTTTTAAGGCCCCTCAATAAAGACTTAACTAACTTAACGAGAGGAGATTTAACCACTAGCCAGAGGATTTTAAGCAGTCATCAAGCTGATACCAAAGCTTTAACTACCAGCAGTAACATTTTGGAACAATACTGACTGTAGTCAGTTCATAGCTCACTTGCTAAGACCAGAACCTAGTTGTTGCAGTAATGAAGCCTGGAGGAGATAAAAGCTCCAACTACCCTCTCTAGCTCTGTGTAAATCAAAGAATAGACCCGGTCTTACATATATCATATCTTATTTGAATAAAACATGATTGCACCACTTTAGTTCATTGAGCATCCTAGGACTTCCTGTTTCACATGTCACACAGCTGAATGGCTACCCAGACTAGACATCAAATCAGTGAACTGCTGAAAATCTTTCAACATGCAACACTTAATATCAGAAACTCATGATCTAATACTACATTGTAGTACCAAGCTATATTGAGACATAGTCCTCTTATCCCGGTGTTTAAGTCAGATGAGCTATTCCATGAGTCGAATGCCTGCACTCCCACAGAGAATGATTTCCCAGCTGGACAACAGCTTTATAGATTATCATTTTTGTTTTGTGGTCATCAAATGTGCTGTGCACAGTCTCACAGCTCTCATTAACTTCTCAGTAGTTTCCGGCAGCAGCAGGCAAAACTGCTCTGACAACACATTGTGTGCTACCTGCCCAGCACCAAATGCAGCCAGACAGAGTTAGAAAATAGCTGGTGAAAAACATTGAACATGTAAAAAGTAATGCTAAAGAGCCACATTTTTTTTGGAAAGAGGTAATGGAGACCAAAACAGATGAAGGAGACTAAATATTACATTTGTTAGGTAAATAGGTAAATGCTAACACATTAGCTATACAACAACGTCAGACCTGCTCACAAAAATGGCTGGTGATCTTTCACCTACATAAACACAAACATGTAACCTGAGAAAGAATTACTCAGGAACGGAGCCTACTTAGGCATAAGTAGAACTCCACCTAGAACTGTGTAGCTAGCTATCCTCAGCAAATGTAGTCTGAAAATAGCGAGCCAATTAATGTTTTGTATCTAACCAATGCTGAAGCATGGTCACACTAGGTATGAAAATAAAGTTACATTAATGTTACTACAAATGTAAGATGCTGGTTTGGTCACAGAGAAAACATATCCCCCATTGTCAGACTCAACAGTCACCCAGACTTTATTCTCTTCTCATGTGTGCCATTCTGTGGGATGGTAGAAGTTTATTATGCTAGGATTATTGCACTGACGGTATGCTTCCTGTTCCTGCCCCACTTCCATCTGCACTTAACTCATTTTTTGTTCTCAGTTTGATATCCTTGAATTACTATTTTGCCAAGTTTTTATTTGTATGCCTCCTTTATCTATTTAAACATGCCATAATCCATTTTTACCCCTCTATAAATTCAAATTCATTTGGTTTTTGCCCCTGAAACCTCACAGTAAGCTTGTACAATGTACTGGGCTTTTTAAGGAATATACTCACTTTTGTTGCCAGCAGTTTAGACATTAATGGTTGTATGATGTGTTATTTTGAGGGGACAGCAAATTTACACTGTTATACAAGCTGTACACTCACTACTTTACATTGTAGCAAAGTGTCATTTCTTCAGTGTTGTCACATGAAAAGATATAATCAAATACTTACAGAAATGTGAGGGGTGTACTCACTTTTGTGAGATACTGTATAATTGTGCGGATATAGGATACAGACCATAGAAAGAAGGTATTCCCTGTCTAATTAGCCACATGATAAAATGCACCTGTGTCTGCAAGGTAGCTATAAAAGATTTTAGTCTCTTTCTGTGTTTGCTGTTTTTTAGTTTTACAGTTTATCTACAGACACAGACAGTTATTTTAGTTAAATTAGCCACATGAATAAATACACTTGTGTTTGTAGCCTACCTGCACTGTTCACTGACTTCTGTGTAGTATGTCTCTGCTAAATTACATTGTGCTTAAAGACAACAGTATTTACATATATCACTCAAACAAAAAAGTAACTAATAAATCTTATGCATATAAATAGAAAGTGTAGTACCTGTGATTGGGAAAGTATTACTGACTTTAACTACCAGCTGAAGCACCCACAATGCATTCAAAGTTATGCAGAAACATGTGTGACTAGTATCTCAGAAGTGCAAATAGAATGTTTCTCAAACTCTCTCTTTCCCTCCCTCCCTCTCTCTCTCTCTCTTACAGGAATCATGTCTGCAACAGGGAATGGCTATGTCATTTATATGACCATCAAACGCAAGACCAAGTTAAAGCCTCCTGAGCTCATGACTGTTAATTTAGCCATCTTCGATTTTGGCATATCAGGTACCGGTTTATGTGTGCACTTACTGTATAGTTGACCAACAAGGTTCATTACACAAAATTCTGACTAAAGCTTTACTGCATCTACAAACATTGCTAACTGATAGAGCTATTTATCGCATTGTAAATAAGCCTAAAGTTAGTAAATAAAAATGATTGAGGTTTGTGATTGACAAAAGAACAATTTATGATGACCTAATATTGTAAATGAGATTGTCGCCACACTTTATGACATTTAGACCTCTGTAGTGAATGGGTCTTCACTGTGATGTTTTCCTGCGCCGTTATGTGGGTCACGTAAGTTACATCGACAGACTGGGGAGACACTGACTACCAGAGTATGGGTAACACAACAAGAAATCCAAATTGAACATTACGAAGCCAATAGTGGCATATCCATACTAAAGTAGCTAGCTGCTACCTTGCACCACTACAGGCTAGTATGAACATATCGCTCCACATTTGCTTTCTACCGTTTAATCGTTTCTTGCGGTGTAAATTATTATTGACATAATAACGGTGGTACACGGGATGGTAATATGGATCGCGTTAGCTGGTGACCCATATGGGTCTGGCCACTGAGAGGCTGCGCTTAGAGGGGCTTGGTCTCTCACAAGAGGAGATCACCATCCAGGGAGAGAGAGCGGCACCTGCTGTGCATACACTGCTGTGTTTCAGCTCTGGTGCGTGCCCCCTGCCCTGTGTTCTTATATTCCTGCAGCTTCTATTGGACAGAAGGCTGGCTTTCCGTACGGTGAAAACCTGCGCTGCCGCCATTTCTCCCTGCCACGAAGGTTTCGATGACAGGAAGGGCGTGTGCAGGCACAGGCCTGTTGCACGTCCAACAGCTTGGCAGTGGTATCTGGCGCTGGTTTTACGCGCCCTGTCCAAGACTCCCTTCAAGCCCCTGGAGTTTTCTCCGTCTGCTTTTGGCACTGACAGCTGCCAAGTGAGTCAGCGATCTGGCTTCCCTCTCTGTGGCTCCCTCATGTCTTAGAATCCAAGGGGACGGCAGCTTGGCTGTCCTGCGCCCTAACCCTGCCTTCATGCCCCAGAGCATCACAAGCTCCTTCAGGTAAAGGGTGATTACTCTTCTTCCCTCCTCCTCACAGGTCAGAGGAGGTAGCTGCATCCCTTCTCCTCTGTCCGGTGCGCGCACTGTGATGTTATATTGCACGCATGGCTGCCTGGTGCCGTTCCCAGCGCCTGTTTGTGCACTACATAGAATAGTCTCTGGGTCTCCCGCATTCAGCACAGCGCTGTCTCATTGGCTTAGTACTCTTGCAGAGGTTTTAAGGGCCATTTCACTAGCAAGGACCATAATCAACGGGTATGATTAAATGATTTATTGAGTAACGAACAGAAGATGTATGAAGCCTGCAGTAGCTGAATAGACATTAGAAAGCGTTGTGGGGAAGCTACGATAGGGAAATCCGCCGTAGCACCCGGGCACGACGGACCCCCTATAAACCTATGGAGAGGAGGAAGGAGATCAGGAGGCAGGACAGAGAAAGGGGTGGGTGGGAGGGATGCAGGATACGAGGGCGAAGGGGAGGACCTAGGACATGTGGGTATTTATGGAAATGCTGGCGATGACGCGCTTGATGTGTGGTCCCGCTCCTGAAACTCTGCTAATTAGCACCAGTTCATGATTAACTGTAAATTTAGCAATGTGAGAAGGAAATTTGTCAATTAGCCATACTTAAATCTGGTCTCACCCTGCCTCATGACATTGCTCATGAACCCTAACTACTCACAATACAGGTGGTCAGGTTTTTAAAGTAATGTTGACATAAATATGTCGACTAATGAAAACCCCAAAATCAGTATCTCAGAAAATTTGAATATTGTGAAAAGGTTCAATATTGAAGACACCTGGTGCCTAATTAACTCAAAACACCTGCAAAGGCCTTTAAATGGCCTCTTAGTCTAGTTCTGTAGGCTACACAATCACGGTCCAAAAGACGACCATTAATACCTTGCACAAGGAGGGCAAGACACAAAAGGTCATTGCTAAAGAGGCTGCTGTTCACAGAGCTCTGTGTCCAAGCACATTAATAGAGAGGCGAAGGGAAGGAAAAGATGTGGTAGAAAAAAGTGTACAAGCAATAGGGATAACCGCACCCTGGAGAGGATTGTGAAACAAAACCCATTCAAAAATGTGGGGGAGATTCACAAAGAGTGGACTGCAGCTGGAGTCAGTGCTTCAAGAACCACCATGCACAGACGCAGGGCCGGCCCTGGCCAATTTGCTGCCCTAGGCAAGATTTCACCTGATGCCCCTGGATTTTTGTTCATAAACTTACACAGAAACAAACTGCACAGGTTTGTCTTGTTTTTCTTTATTTTGAAAATATTTTGGAAACACAAACACACAACGTATTATAGATACAATATAAATATGTATATTATATTATGTTATTGCAGAAAAAACTATATTACAGAAACCTTGCTTTCCTTTGCTTTCCTTGCCTTTCTTACAGCATATGTAACATTCCAAAAATTATAAATAAGACCATTGCACAAAAAATAAATAACTATTCTATTCTTGAGCTATTGTAGATCTCAGGTAGTTTTTAATCAGTTTGAGCTTAGAGAAGCTCCTTTCAGCAGCAGCGACTGTCACAGGTAGAGTGGCAGAGATTCTCAGAGCGACCCACATATTGGGGAAAATGTCCATCAGCTTCTTCTCGTGCAGGAAAGTCAGGAGCTCAATGTTTGTCATAATTTTTGATGCATTTCTAATACAAGTTTCAATTCAAATTAGCGAACGTTACAGGCATTGTGATCGAACTGACTTAATGCAACACAGATAAACTGATCACACATCATTACCTACCTCTGTCTTTTTCGCGTTTTTCTTCCTCTTCTCTTCTTTTTTTTTCTTCCCTGGGCACCAGATGGTTTCGGTCTTTTTGACATAATGACAACTTATCAGTGTCAGTGAATTAGGCCATCTGTCACTCACAATCACACACAGGTAACGGATGGGGTTTTTTTCAGCAGGGCTGGGGCGATGGAGATTGATGCATCACTCAGTCGGACCGGGGTGATCGGGGATTCAGGATTCCCCCGGGATTCAGGATTCCCCCGGGATTCACGATCGCTTTTTTTAATCCATAATATTTAAGTTGTATTAGTAATAAAAAAAATTATTAAAAAAATAATTTGGGCGCTCGGGTGCCCCAAGGGGTGGGCGGCGCCCTTAGCATTTGCCTATTCTGCCTATGCCCAGGGCCGGCCCTGCACAGACGTATGCAAGACATGGTTTCAGCTGTCGCATTCCTTGTGTCAAGCCACTCTTGAACAATACACAGCGTCAGAAGCGTCTCGCCTGGGCTAAAGACAAAAAGGACTGGACTGCTGCTGAGTGGTCCGAAGTTATGTTCTCTGATGAAAGTAAATTTTGCATTTCCTTTGGAAATCAAGGTCCCAGAGTCTGGAGGAAGAGAGGAGAGGCACAGAATCCACGTTGCTTGAAGTCCAGTGTAAAGTTTCCACAGTCAGTGATGGTTTGGGGTGCCATGTCATCTGCTGGTGTTGGTCCACTGTGTTTTCTGAGGTCCAAGGTCAACGCAGCCGTCTACCAGGAAGTTTTAGAGCACTTCATGCTTCCTGCTGCTGACCAACTTTATGGAGATGCAGATTTCATTTTCCAACAGGACTTGGCACCTGCACACAGTGCCAAAGCTACCAGGACCTGGTTTAAGGACCATGGTATCCCTGTTCTTAATTGGCCAGCAAACTCGCCTGACCTTAACCCTGTAGAAAATCTATGGGGTGTTGTGAAGAGGAAGATGCGATACGCCAGACCCAGCAATGCAGAAGAGCTGAAGGCCACTATCAGAGCAACCTGGGCTCTCATAACACCTGAGCAGTGCCACAGACTGATCGACTCCAAGCCACGCTGCATTGCTGCAGTAATTCAGGCAAAAGGAGCCCCAACTAAGTATTAAGTGCTGTACATGCTCATACTTTTCATGTTCTACACTTTTTGAATGGAATTACTGAAATAAATCAACTTTTTGATGATATTCTAATTATATGACCAGCACCTGTATTCTCCATGTAATAACTGTGATCGTCAGTACCAGGCTAGACAAGCTATTGCCATGACTCAGAACATGTAAATGCTATTGAGCCTCCAAACATGTGAGCGACCATGTGCAAGCATGTGTACATGCCCTGCAGGGTTTTCAGTGATTCTAAGAAAATATTTGGCTCATCATGTCTCATGCAATCTTGCCTCGAGAGGTTCTGATGTTTATCCCTTTTATGCTTCTCAGGCTTGGCTTGTCACACGGCTCTTGGCCTGTCCAGCTCTTTCTAAGAAGGCCCACATCTGACACACACCACAATAATCAGGGGTTCACTGTGGTTTCCTTCCTTTAGAGTACACAGGAGCCATGTGCCTTGCTCGTTAACCCTTTTTGGCAGGCACGATTCCAGTAAAATACCATAGCCACCATAGCACACTTTCATAAGACAAGACCTTTACCTTTTAAGGTTAATTGACTACAAGAATTACTAATTACTACTACATTGCTTTGTGGTAATTCCAACAATCAGCAGTCCTTTCCTACTCCTTTGTCCGTTTATGATTTTCAATAATGAGGCACTTGTGACAAATAAGAAGAGCTATCACATGTATGTCAGCTTTTTAGTCATTCAATCTGAAATACTGGGAAAGGAGAAAGGATATTTTGTCATCAGCACTACAAAATACTGGCTCGGATTTTTCCGAACTGTGGCTTACGCTTGCAGCACTCACGTCTGTATTAATGCAGATGCAGTTTTAGGTTTCGATTCACGTAACAAAACCTTTATGTATGTCTCTACATACAGAGAGAGACAGAGAGAGAGAGAGAGAGAGAGAGAGAGAGAGAGCATTGCTCACACCTTCAGGGCTTGTCAGTGACTAATGATTTGTCCCTTGCAAAATATTAATTAAATTCAATTCAATTCAATTTTATTTATATAGCGCCAAATCACAACAACAGTTA